GTGCTCTTTTCGTGTTTTTTTTTTGAGGGATGGCGGTCTCGCGTCTGTCGCGCCAGGCGGAGGGCAGGGCCGGGATCCGGCTGCACGCAAGTTCTGCCTCCCAGGGTTTACGGCCTTCTCGCTGCCTCAGCTCCCTAGCCTAGCGGGGACGTACAGGCCCACCCGACCATACCTTGTTGCTTCCTGCTAGTTTTTTTGGTAAAAAAAAAAAAAAAAAAAAAAAAGAGGAGTAGGGGCTTGATTATCACCCAGTCTGGAGTGCAGTGGTGCAATCATGGTTTACTGCAGCCTCAACCTGCCAGGCTCTGACTATCCTTCCACCTTGCCCTCCTGAAATGCTGGGATTATAGGTGTGAGCCACTGCGCCCAGCACATAAATTCTCAGTTGCAGATGGGCGTGATGGCTGATGCTTGTAATCCCAGCACTTTGGGAGGCCAAGGCATGGAAATCATCTGAGATCAGGAGTTTGAGACCAGCCTGGCCAACATGGTGAAACCCTGTCTCTACTAAAAAATACAAAATTAGCCAGGCATGGCAGCGTGTGCCTGTAATCCCAGCTACTTGGGAGGCTGAAGCACAAGAATTGCTTGAACCAAGGAGACGGAGGTTGCAGTGAGCTGAGACCGCATCACTGCACTCCAGCCTGGATGACATGGCAAGATTCCTCAAACAAAAACAAAAACAAAACAAGAACAACAAAAAATTATCAGTTGCAAAACCAAATGTCCAGATTCCTCCAAGACATGGTATCCTAGAAAGTGAGAATTAACTTTAATTAATTAATTAATTAATTTTTATATGGAGTTTCACTCTGTTGGCCAGGCTGGAGTGCAGTGGTGCAATCTTGGCTTACTGCAGCTTTAATCTCTTGGGTTTAAGGGATTCTCCTACCTCAGCCTCCTGAGTAGTTGATACCATAGGTGTGCACCACCCACACTTGGCTAGTTTTGTATTTTTAGTAGAAACAGGGTGTCTCCATCATGGCCAGTCTGGTCTCGAACTCCTGGCCTCAAGTGATCTGCTCACCTCCGCCTTCCAAAGTGCTGGGCTTACAGGCCTGAGGCATTGTGCCCAGCCGAGAATTCACTTTAAAAATAATGACCACGGCCGGGCGCGGTGGCTCAAGCCTGTAATCCCAGCACTTTGGGAGGCCAAGACGGGCGGATCACGAGCGACGGCGATCAGCGGCGTCAGGAGCTCAAGACCATCCCATGGCTAACACGCGTGAAACCCGCGCTCTATCAAAAATAAATAACAAAAGAACCTCAGCGG